CAAGCAGTATCTGGGTGGCTGAAGCCTCACAAGGAGCAGCCCTTCTAGGAAGCTGTGCGCTTTGACAGGGCCAGGGCCCTCAGCAGATGTGGGTGGGAGCCTGACGCAGGCTGCCCTGGGCGGAAACACTGTAGGAACATCCATGGGCCAGATCCAGTAAGTTGGCAGGCACCTGCCTGCAGGCTGGATCCAATTGGTTGGGCTGCCAGATCCAGCCCTTGGGCCATATTTTGCCCACTCCTGAAACGAGATATAATTATAAGTTGTTACAATGCAACTATTATAGCTGTACGTTCCTGTAGTAATACAAGTAATTGCAAATTGAATCTTGTTTTATACAGTGATTTAGCTAATTTGTATCACTACAGGAGCATGCAGATGTTTCAATGACAGTGTAAGAGCTTGTGCTGGTTGCTGACTGGCAGATGTTTCTCACTTTCTAAAGTGTTTAACTTTGTCCATAGGTTTAGTGACTTAGTAAAAAGGTTCATCCAGAAAGATATCACAGAAGTCAGAGATAGAAAAGATCAGTTGCTTTAGGGTTGTGCCTTATTTAGCACAGAATTATTCCTTGTACTTTGTCCAGTCTGGTTTTAAATGTTTTCAGTATGTAATTAAGGGAAACAAAGAGAAAAAGATTATATATGATATCGTGATGGCTGTCACTATATTTCAGACAGAAACAAAAGCTTTTTGTACTCCAGTGACAAACACTGAGGCCTCCTCTGCATGTTATATCTATTGCGCAATTACCTTGTTAATTGTGCAATAAATTTAGACTGGCTACACTTACAAATATAATTATCATGCCTTAAAAAGTCCAAGCAGCTTTAAAAGTGTTGCTTGAAAATGTGTAATACCTTTTAGCTGATTTTTGTCCAGTTTTAATTTGCACAGGCAGGCAGTTTGCAGCTGGGAAAATGCAAGCAGTTTGGAGCCTGCTTCTTGCCGATACAGGGGGAGCCCGGAATCAGGCTCCCCCTGCACCAGCAGTAAGGTGCAATTGGATCTAATGCTCAGTCCAACAACAATCGTGCCTCCTGCCATACATGTGGCACGGCAGGGGTCCGATTTTGTGGATCATGCATTAGATTCAATTGTGCCTGGACCTGCATGTGTAGAGGGGACCAAGAAATAATAAGTATGTTGTAACGCTTTCTTGCAAAAGCATTATTGTCCGTTGCGGCTTTCTTCCAGGATCCCCTAATCCTGCCATACAGAATAATGCCTTTCAATAGTGTTTTGTCTTCCTCTTGCTTTTTCTTTGAGGACAAGCATCCAGTCATATTCTTCTTTCCAGTTTTAAATAAAGAAATAAAAGGACATGATGCTCTGAATAACAGAATTTTAGGTGTTAAAGTGGTAAAGGCATAATCATCTAGTCCAGGGGTTCTCAAACTGGGTCTCAGCGCCCTGGCAACTTAAAAGGAGCTTGCAAATTCTCTTCCTTCCTTAAAAGGGGTGGCATGGTGGGAGGGGACACTGCTGCCATTGATCACTCCATGCTGCCTCTGCCAACTCTGCACCACTTCCCCACACCCAACTCCAGCCGGCTGGCCACCATGGCCCCCCTTCATAGAATCATAAAGTAGGGTCGGAAGGGACCTTGCAGATCTTCAAGTCTGACCCCCCGTCTGCTCCCCACTTGTCGACCAGACGGACTTGGGCAGCTGCACCCCCTGCACCACCACTTCTAGGGAGGGAAGAGAAGTTTGCAACCCCCTTGTCACAGTATCAAAAAGTTTAAGAACCCCTGATCTAGTCTGTTGGTGGCCAGCATTTTTAGCAGATGTGCCACAAATTTGTCCTGCACCCTCCTGAAGTGCCATTCCACTCCTCTTTCCTGCCTGATATGCTGCTCTAGTTTCTGCCTCCTGTCATATGCTCTCTGCCAGATCTGCAGCTCTGTTTTTTGCCTATCCCTTCCCCAGTCTGCCATGTGCCACACACAGTGGCTGCCTGTGCCCCTTGTGGCATTTGTCACTGTTTGGCTACTCCTGTCCTAATCCATGTTCTTTACTCTGTGGTATGTTCAGGGCCTTCGCTTTTAAATTACTCAGTTTATCTAACTTCTATCTTTTCCCTTGAGAAAATGGTTAAGTCTTAAATCTGAGGATTAAAATAGTAGAGGTGCACTGATATATTGGTGCCATATCATATCAACACCTATAAAAGGAAAATTAACATCAGCTATGGGCTTTTTTTGGCCAGTGTAGCTGATAAATATAGTATACCTTCTGGATGGGGCCTCCGGAAGCCACATGCATGCACACAGTCACACACATGCCCACAGCCAGGAATGCAGCCAGGCAGTGTGGAGAGCAGTACCCTGCAGGTAAATTTGTGGAGGGGAAAAGGCACGGGGGTGTAGATTGAGGCCCCCATGGTGAGGGAGGGAGTGAGGCAGGGGCTGAAGGTGCTGCCCAGCCAGGGTGGTGAATGGAACCTGGGGTCAGGGCAGGGAACAGGATGGAGCTGTGGGTGGCTTGTTCAGGGGGCACAGTGGAAGCAGCTCCCCACTGCTGCATACGCCCGCTGGGGGAGGTATGGGGAGGGCATGTGTGTCCACCCTCCCCCCCTCCCGATTTGTGTGCTGGTGGATGCAGGCTGCCCACTGTGGGCTTTCAGGGCTTTCCACTCTGCTGCCTTTGCCCCGGGGTCTCTGCATCAGCCATGCGTCCCCTGCCCACTCAGGAGCAGTGAGGGCAGCAAGTTGTGCCTTCCGCTGTCAGACAGGCTGGGGACCCATGGCTGATGCAGGACCCCCAGGGCAAAGGCAGCAGGGCAGAGAGCCCTGAGCCCACAGTGAGCAGCCTGTATCCACCCTTGCCCCGCTCAGCTCCACTCTGGTTAAAAGTGTCTCTGTGCTTAAAAAGGGTGGCAGCGGTGCTTGAACCAAAGCTCATTTGACAAGCTTTAGTTCAAGCATCCTCACTGCCATTTTTAAGTGCCTGAATGCTGATTCCCTGGACAAGCCATCTGCGCCAGCCCTAGGTCTCATTTACCACCTGCCCCGGCCCCAGGTCCCATTTACTGCCCTGGCTGGGCAACACCCCAATCACCAGTCCCACTCCCTCCCTGCCTCACCATGGGGGCCTCACTCTGCCCCACCTCCCATGCCCCTGCCCCCCCCACAGTCTTAACTGCAAGGTGCTGCTCTTCACACGGCCTGCCTGCACGCCTGTAAATTGGTTATTGGATCAGCATCAACTGATATGGCTGGGTAATAATAGGCTATCAGTATCAACCAAGATACTTTATCAGTGCACCCTTATAAAACAGTTGTTTGGAGGTTAGAATTTTCCTTGTACTCTAGTCTGATTGGGGGAATTCTAGTGGGTATCACAGTGTTGTTTCTTCAGGGGTTGCCCTGCTGACAGTATGTTTCTTATAGGTGCGTTGGGCAGACCTAGAAGAAAAGAAGGATGCAGATAGGAAGAGGGCCATTGGATTTGTGGTTGGACAAACAGATTGGGAGAAGATCACAGATGAAAGTGGTCATCTTGCTGAAAGAGCCCTCAACCGCACCAAATATATTTGAGGCAGTTATTAACTGGATTTTTTGTACCTTTAAGGTTAGTGTTCAGTTTTCGAACAAAATTGTTGATTTTTGAAAGGTGAAAGTAAGGCTAAAGGGCACATGTTGCTAGGGTCTCTTCAGATATTTTTATTTCAAGTCTTGTATAATTCATAGATTTGTCAATTGTGTACAATTGTCTGATGTATAATCTTCTGTGTGGATCTAAAGATAGAGGGGAAAGGAGGCACCAGCCTTCAAGAACTCCAACTATTGTCAGTAATAAGTCTAAGGGTACACTATGAAGAAAACCAGACTATTTCTGTCAACTGGGTGCCTAGTTCTTCTAGGTCCGAGTTCTGAATATTGTTTTTGAACTCGGACCATTTTATTTACTACACTACTAAGTGTAACAGACTTTTCTTTTCTTTACAGGCCATTTGCTTTGAGGAGAACTAAACAAGGAGTGACCTGAGCATCCTGGGTGGATTTTGTCACTCCCACCTTCGCAATTGTTTTAGTTTCTTTCGTTATTTTAGTTTCTGCAAGTTTCTTGAAATGTTGGGAATGATTAATGGTGACCCCAAAAGACAAATTCCTGCTGTACTTAAGCGAGAGAGACAGTTTTCTTTTTAATATTTTTTGGAGGGGGGAGGGGTGGGTCAGTAGTTTTAGCTGCTATGCATGGGGTAGGGTGGAAGGATTAGACAATGTTTCCTCCACTGTACTGTCACAGAATGTCTTTCACCTTTGCTTTGTGGCTGTTCTCGTTTTATACTGTATGTACCTTGTAGCTCATTGTAGTAGGAAGCAGAATAATAAACTTTCACTATAAACCCAATGAGCTTTGTGAACCAAACAGCGTGGGCCTTTTTCTTGGCGTTTGTTTTACATTTTGGATATGGTCTGTCTTCGCGTGTTGGCAAACGTTAAAATTCGTCATCATTTGGAAGTAACATCATTCTTGTATTCCAGAGTATGCCATGGCGTTGGCCTCCAGGAGGTTTATCACCTGCCCTCCTTTTGGGGATCGCCTCTTTTTCAGGCCTTTGGTCCTTATCAGTTTCTAATAATTGTATATCTTTTCTTTCAGCTTGGAAGGACTCTGCTTTTTAAAGTCCTTTCTGAACTTTAAATTTCTATTGCTGCTTTCGCATTTTAATTTTATTCTGAAATATTGAAATACTTCAAGTAGTAATATAAGGTGTGAAAAATATAATTCTGAGCCTAAAATACTGGCATAAAACCAAGCAATAGGAAGCCATCTGAACAGGAGCACAGAAATTCCCTTTTACTTGCATTGTGTTGTGGAGTTAACATGGCTTCTCATCAGTTCCCTTGCAAAATCAACTTTTCTTGATCTAAAAGATAGACAAGTTGTCCATACTGGGAAGAATGCTGTAGGAGTTGTCACTACACACACCAGCATCACAGATGTACCAATGAACAAACTGAATATATCACTTTTTTCCTTTTGGCTCTTCTAACAAGAGCTTCTGTTAGAAGTTGTAGTAAAAGAGGAGGCAGTGGATTGTCTGAAGAATTTTGTTTGAGTTAATGGTGAATGATTGAAAATTTTCTGTACATTTGTAGTTAAAGTAAAATCCTGAAGGGTTCTTCTGCATTCCTTTTGTTGTTTTCTGGTGATTTATATTACAAATTGCTTCTAAGTTTATTAGGCAATCAATACTCATAAGTCCTTTGGTACCTTACAGAAGAGCCATATTTTGTATAGTTATAATACATGTCCATTTACTGAAAATTTCTCAGTTTTATTAATTATATGCAATTGAAATGTCTTTTCAGTGTGCATAACAGAACTGATGTTGTGTCCTCAATTTTTAAATACAAGAAAATAAAGCTTCTTGAATGCAGTGCTTTTATACCAGAACTAACAAATGTATCCATGTATACATTCCATTATCCAACGGCATTTACATTCTTTTTTTCAAATATTGCAGAATATTCTCTTTGAACAGTCATAATGTTGGTATTGCCAGTAAGAAAGCTATCATTATCAAGGAAGCAGAAGGTCCTTGGGGAGATCATTGAAACCTTCCTTCAAAAGTTTGTAGCTCATTTTGTTGCAAAAGTAGCTAGCAGGACTTTCAGTCCACCAAGTGAAGTTTTCTTTTTGTCTATAAAGAAACTGCAGTTGGCTTCTGTCCTTCATAATACATTCAAGTCAAGTTCTTTCCAACTTTTACATCCCACGTTAAGTAATAATGCTTCTGGAGCATGAAAGAGTTTGAGGTGAAGGGAGCATGGCAGGGGATATCACGCTGACTTCTCTGTTTTCATGCATTTGAGAGCAGAATTGGAGAGAGAGCACCCATGGAGACTACGTTGGTTTTGCTTCTGTGGTCAGCATATATGGAAGAAGTGACACAGAACGTTTAGTCAGTTGCACTGTCCAGTGTGATGGGGAGAGAAGGGGGGCAGGATGGAGGATGAAGATTTACAAGAGCATAGGCTAGTACCAGTTGATGGCAGGTGTTTGGTTATGAAGGTATACTGTTACAAAGTGTTTGCCAGCATAGTTAGACTATGCTGAAGTTTTTCTTTCAGCCCCATTGATGATTGGTTTTAGTAGTACCTATAGTGCATCAGGTTCATCTTATCATCTTTGCCATCTGTGTTCCATTTAATTTGAGCAGCTGGAAGATCAACCTGAAAGATTGATACAAAGCAAATCAGGAAGAAAATACTCTTAAACCTACATCATACCAGAACTACAGGTTTCAACAGGATCCGTATATTCCAGTCCTTCAGAGAACGAAATAACTGGGCGCTTGGAACAGCTCATCATCACTGCCGGCAGAATCAGAACTAGGATCAGAACTTCCCTGCTTGGAAGTCCATATCTAGAGGATTGTGGTTAGTGTAACTACTATTCTGCCACCAGTGCTGCTAGCTGTAGAATACAAAAAAGTTCCTTTCTCTTTCCTGTCCTATATAATATCTGTATATAGTTGCTGAGGCTACACTCTTCTTTGACACTAGACCTTCATAGCCTTGGATGTAAAAGAAAAAGCCTTCTACGACTATGGCTAGCTATGAAAATGCAGCCCATTTTCTCAGGTTGATGACTTTGGACATACTTTCTTAACTTCCGATTGGACTATTGGAATGCAAAAGGAAAAATTTGAAAATATCCAGCTTGAAAAAACCAGCAACCAGTGCAGAATATTGTAACTTGCATCTTCGGCAAAACTGGCTGGTGAAGAACCCTTTGTTTCTTATGTGTCATTGGCTCCTGAAGATCACTTGACCTTCTAGCACAGGGGTGGCCAACCTGCGGCTCCGGAGCCACATGCGGCTCTTCAGAAGTTCATATGCGTCTCCTTAAATCTTTGCACAAGCACACAGTGACCAGCTGCCAAATTGAAACTGGTCACTGTGTGCTTGTGCAAAGATTCAAGGAGATGCATATTAACTTCTGAAGAGCTTCAGGTTGGCTCTCCCTGTCTAGCACTTTAATTTCTTTTAAATCTATTCTTCACGAACAATAGAACCATCTTCTTTGGTGGCAAGGATCATGCAGTTTCCCACAAAGCAGGATACAGCTCTGTTTATGAAAAATTAAAAAATTGTTTTACTTGACCTTTCCAGATAAAATCTGCTAATGCTGCCTTTGGACATTTATGAAATCATGTCTTCAATGATCAGGATCCAAACCAAACTTCTGGTCTACAAAGCTGTTGTGATCCCTACCTCACTGTATGGGCATGAAACTTGGACAATGTATTGGAAACAACTGAAAGCTTTGGAACATCACCATTAGTGAAGTCTTTGCAAAATCCTTCATATCAGCTTGAAGGACAGAAGAATAAATCCCAGCATTCTGGCTTAAGCAACCACCACCAGCATTGAAGCTATATTTATACAGCACCAACTCTGTTGGATAGGACATGTCATAAGGAAACCTGACAACCAGCTTCTGAAACAGGCCATGTACTCCCAACCCACTGATGTTCACTGCTCTGGAGGTGCACAAAAAAAAATTCAAAGAAGTCTTGAAGGCCAGTCTGAAGAGATGTGATATTAACATCACCTGGAAGACTCTAGCATTGAATTGTCCCCAACAGCACTGTGATGTACAAGGCATCAGTCATTTCAAATAAACTTACTTCACTGTGGAGGCAGATAGAGGAGAGATACCAAGGGAAAAAGCTGTCACTCAGCATTACCAGGATCTACTCCTTCCTGGAAATATTTGCCACATCTGCAGTCAAACATGCAATGCAGATCTCATATCAGCCGCCTCTGTCATCTACAGACTCACCAATGGCTTCATTCTCTGGAAGGCTGCCTCAAAGAACTTGCATCAAAGGATTGCCAATGAGCTGTGGTACAAGAACATAAGTCTCAGAGAATCCCATACCAGCTTTATTGTTTGGGTTGTTTACTTGTTCTTTTTAGTGCTAAGAAGAGTTCATCTGCATTGATGTTATCTTGCATGATTAGCTCCCTGCAATTACAAAAGAATTGATACTGATACATCTTAGATTTTTATATCTTCCACCCCAAAATCAATTTGGATTTGCCTTAGTCTTTATGAATCATGTTTACCAAGTAACAATTTGCTTCTTGCCTGTCAGTTGCTGAACAAGATTCTTCTGTATTTACAGGTTTTTAAAGGTATTACTTTAAATAGTTTGTAGAACTCAAGAGGTATCTGAATGTTCATTTGGACTTTTCTGGAGCAGACTTCAGGCAATTTATAGCAATGGACTGAGCTGAAAGATTGAGTTTTATTGATGCATTTAAATGAACTTATTAAGCCAGCAAAAAAAATTCACCAATTTATCTATTTGTTGGGTAAACGAAATCTCTGAAGCAAGCATATGATATTAACTTGGAACACTGAAATCATCATAATGTATCAAACCGATATTCATCTAGACCACTATAATTCTGTCTCCCATTTGTGGCTGGTTTCAGATATTTCTTAACAATGTGCAAGAATCACTGATGTAATTCTTTTTGGACCATGTGTATGTTTTGGGTTTTTTTCCTGTTTTCACCTTCTCCTTCCTGTTCAGTGATTGGCATGAGTT